GTGGAAGACTTCTATGCCCTTCATCTGGATGACAGGGACTCCCCTACCTTTAAGCACATTCTTCTTGGTAGTTGAAGTGTGAAGACTACTTAGAGGCTGAGCACCTTTACTGCTTATGTTTGTAGACTTAAACAGACCTGGAAAAAAAAGTGGGAACACAATCATTGAATCATACTGGCAATAAACTAATTTCTCAAGTTATCCTCTCTCGGTTGCTTAGTTAAAGCACTTTGATCAGCACAAGTGGACAGTGTCTGAAGTAGCCTTGCCTAGGGTTGCTATTTTATGAAAGAGCACCAAAGTGCTAGTCAGAGTGTCCTCAGAGTGGGTGGGGTCTCGTTGACAAGTCCTCTGTTCTTGATGGATGATTGAAAGGACCAATGCTGGCTTAATCCACAGCTGTTCTGTGTTTATGGTTAAAAAAGCAGTGTTGTATCTTCATGGAAGCAATTCATGGCAATGACTCCCATCTGCTCTTAAACTGTTTGGGACATCTCTTAAGCAATGTTTCCTGGTCCATTTGGGTATGATAATATAAACGTCCCACTTAGGTGGTGGGCCTGAGAGGTCTGTGAGCCCCGCTCCCAAAGAACATAGGCTGTTGTCATTGTTTTTGTTACCCACCAGACTTAGATAATGAGACGTGACTGGTTAGTATACCACACAGTTTATCCAGAGGACAGAGATATCAAGACGGGACTGTACTAGAAAGTTGCTCCCTATTTGCTATTTGTTCACTGTTCGAAAGCGCCATGCATGCTACCTGGGCTGGGGGGGGGGGGGAGGGACTCATGAAAGTTCTCAACCAGCTGTGTGCCATGTAACCCATAATGCTAACTATGCAGCAAGGTTTGTCTACTGGTACAATAGTGGCATGTTGTTTCAGAGATAACGAAGTACTTGTGATTGCATTTGAGGACAGCTTCATGAACAGTATAAACATGGTCAAAGCCTATTCCTGGTAAAATCATGGGCCTAAGGGGTTTTGCACTACTGTTGTTTTAGTGAAAGAAACATGTCAAGAATTTTAATTCTGATGAAACCAAATTTGTCTATAGTTTTCCTTTTTGGCTGTGCTTTATGTCAACTATGAAATACATAGCCATATTTATTATTCTGTACATTTCCCCTATATATTTTCTATCATCTTGTAGTTTAACATTCACTTGTAAGAATTTTGACTTATGTTGAAGTATTTTTATGTATAATTTACGTTAAGAGCTCAGGCATCCTTCTATTTGGGAATATTATGTCTTCCTGCACTATAAGGGCTAGACTGCCTTTTCCCGTTAAGTTGCCTTGGTGCACTTGACCATGCAGATTAGAGTTTATTTCTGAGGTCACCTCCTTGTCCTCTTCTTCCTCCATCTTCTCTTTCCTTTCTTTCTTCCTTCCATCCTTCCTTCCTTTTCTTCTCTACCACTTTCTTTATTAGTTCTTTGTGAGTTTCAAACAATGTGTTTATATTCATGTCCCTTCCCTAATCCTTCTCCGATTCAATCTGTTTTCCTAACTTTGTGTCCTTTTTCCTTTGAATTAGTTTTTTTTTTTTCCCAAAACAGGGTTCTATTGTTTAGCTCTGGCTGTTCTGGAACTCATTTTGTAGAGTAGGCTGACCTCAGACTTACAGAGCTCCACTTGGCTCTGCCTCTCTGGGATTAAAGGTGTGCACCACAGCTGCACAGGTTCTTTTGAGTTCTTCTTCTTTTTTTTTTCTCTTTGAGACAGGGTTTTCCTGTGTAGCTTTGGAGTCTATCCTGGAACTCACTCTGTAGACCAGATTGGCCTCAAACTCACAGAGATCTGCCTACCTGCTTCCCAAATGCTGGGATTAAAGGCATGTGCCACCACCGCCGGCTTCTTTTTGATTTCTTTAAGACCAATTTGTGGTACCCAAATATTCTTGGATGCATAGTTTTCCAATGGAGTGGCTATCTTGCCAGTGACTACATTCTGAGAGAAAGACGGGTCTCCAACTAGTAGCTAATAATTTCCAATAGCTCCATGCCTCAGTTGGGATTGTGTGTCCAACCCCTCTCCATGCTGAGATTTGCTATGACTTGGACTTGCACAGGGTTTGTGCATGCTGTCATGATTGCTGTGAGTTCATATGTGCAGCTGCCCTGCTGTGTCCACAAGAAAATATTTCCTAGCCGTCAGTTGCTGTCTCAGGCTCTTACACTCTTCCCATTGCCTTCTGGGTGATGATCTTGAAGGCTGCATGATCCACGTGTATAACAACACTATACTGTTAAATAGATATATTATTAAACTGATTCCTAACACCATTTTTTTTATTAGTCAGGGCTCTCTAAAGAGACAGGACTGGATAGCATGAACGTGTATTTATTACAAGAGGTTTTGTTAGAGCCGCTTCCATTCTGTGGTCTGGCTGGTCCAGCAATGACTGTCTCCTGATAGAAAGGCTGAGACTATGGAAGTTGTTGAGGCCTTGCAGGTCGATGTCCCGGAAGTCCCAGCCTGGTGCTGGCACTCTGGAGAATTTCTAGAGGACTGCTGGAACTCAGTCTGTGCTGGACTCCTGAAGAAGTGGGTTCCAACACCCATGAAGGAATGCCTCAGCTGCAGGCGGATGAATTTACAAGTGAGGCTGAGGGAAAGCAGGAGAAAAGCAAGAGGGTTCGACTTCCACGTCCTTGCACGTGGGCTGCCACCGAAGGTATGGCAAGATTTAGGGTGGGTCTTCCCAACTCAAACGAGTCAGAAAAACCCTCACAGGCATCCCAATTACTTGGGCTTTAGCTGATTCCTGATGCCGTCCAGCTGGCAGCCGAGGTTAGTCATCACATTGCTGTACCTCTGGGATTACTCTCTGTTTTACTGGTCTCTGTTACCTGCCTTTTATGAGAATCATGCTGCTTTCATTAATGTAGCTCTGTCATAAGCTCTGCCATTACCAAGTGTGATTCGTTCTCAGTTGTTCTGAATTAATTTACCCACGACACTGTTCAAGATCCCATGTGGATCTGAAACGGATCTTTCCCTTGTTCTTTTTACGTGCACAACTGGGGTGGAGTTATTGCATATATGAATGTTTGCATATATTTTTGTGAGACCATCATATGCTTGTGGTGGTCTGAGAGGTTTGTGGAGAATCTTCTTCCTTCACTCCTTCCTCTCATTTAGTGAGACAGTGTCTACTGATCCAACCCAGAGCCAATCCGTGTAACTAATCTCAGTAGCCAGTTTGCTCTTGATATCCTGTCTCTGCCCTGTAACCTAGAATTATAGATGAGCTGCCATGTGCACCCTGCATTCTACATGAGTTTTGGGGATCTGAATTCTGTCCCACTTTCTTTCATTGCAAGCCCTTTAACTACTGAAATCTCTGCATCTCCCAAAATGGAATTTTCTAGTTCTACAACATATCTTTGTGATGTGGGATGTTCTTCTGTATGCTGCAGATATGCATTGCTTTTATTGGTTGATGAATAAAACTGTTTCAGCCAATGGCCAGGAAAAATATAGCTAGGCAAGAAATCCAAATAAAGATGCAGAGAGAAGGAAGGCAGAGGGAGGGAGGGAGACACCACATAGCCGCTGAAGGACTGCTCGTAAGTCACAGCCTTGCGGTAATACACAGACAAATAGAAATGGGTTAATTTAATTGTGCGAGTTAGTCAGTAATATGCTTGAGCCAAACAATTGTAATTGATAATTAAGCCTCAGAGTGTTATTTCATAAGCAGCTACGGGGACCCGTGAGCAGGAAAGAAACTGTTCCAGGGGGACCAATGTGATAGAGGAAAACATTCAACTACATCTTTGAGGTTCTAGGGATTCTTTTCCCCAAGGTTTGTAGGTCATTTTTTTGTGCAACTGTCAACTGACTAGTATAATTTAATCTTTTAAATGTTTCAATTCCTAAAAACTCTAGTGCTAAGAACCAGGAAAGAGTTTTCTCATGCAGTTACTGCCATCACTAAACATGACAATCATTTTAGAAAGGAACATAGATATTCTATCCTGTAGCTACTGAATTAAGAGCAGACATGTCTCAAATTTAACCACCCCACTCACACAGTCTGTTGTACAGACAGAAAGTGGCAGAAGAAAACTGTGCAAGGATGTTTGTTGACTGCACCTTTGACTGTTGTCATGACCACAGAAATATAAAGGTGTCTTTAAAAGGAACTAGTGAGAAGTTTCAAATATTCTCAGTTCAGAACATCACACATAACATTAAGAGTATAGGAGACGGAGGAAACCCATCAATTTACCATTTTTAGAGGCAAGGGGGAATCTCGGCCTAGAACAACAGGAAACATACTGGAACACATCTTGTTTTTATAACATTACCTGTATGTTGGAAGGGCCTGGAGATTGCAAATACTGGAAAATAGAAACAGGGAGGAAAGAACAGGGTTCTGTTTTACATATCTGTATCCAGCTACTTCTTTACCTTTGGGCACACGTTTCTTTGAGGCTGACTTGCGCTGAATAATCTGCCCTTTAATAATCTGCGTTTCTAAATTACTGGTTTTAGAGTGATCTGGAAAGTGAAAACAATACCATTCGTTATATTGCAAGTTGACTTTTTTTAGCTATTCAGGTACAAAGTGAACAAATAAACTGCTGGTCTCTTAAAATTAAAAGCAGGTACAAAGTGAACAAATAAACTGCTGGTCTCTTAAAATTAAAAGCATCCAGGCCCCTTATCCGACAACACACTATTTTGTAGAAACATAAGCAAATAGGAGGCACTGAAGAAGCAGCTGTTGGATAAGTCACAGTACGTTCTCCTTTCGGAGCACGGTGCAGAAAAGAGAAGAGGTGATGCATGAAGGATGCAAATGTGCCCGCCTAGGCCATCACGGGTCAACATTAGTGGATTATTTGAGGGGCTCACAGTATCGGATGGGGAGAAACCATGGGCCCAGAACGGAGTTCTGTTTCACACATCTGGACTGCATTCCCTTTTTTACCTTTGAGTACTCGCTTCTTCTTAGCAGTGGCAGACGTGCGCAGCATGGATGTACCTTCACCAACGTTCTTGCCTAGGTTTTTAGTCTCGGACTTGTCTGAAAAATGAGAACAAGGTCTTTCACTAACACAGCTAATCAGTGTGACACTCAGGAACGAGGAATAGGTTCTGTCTGAAGCAGCCTTGGCTGTTATCTGATATCTTATCAAACATCACTGTAATAGAATAAGTCGGGTATAGAAAGAAGGCTGGGAGAGGTGTAGCTCGGCTGTAGTTCCAACACTTCAAAGACTGAGGTGGGGTGTGTGTGTGTGTGTGTGTGTGAATATCTGCCCAGCCTTGATATGCATAGCAGCCTTGCCTCAAAAAAAAAAAAGAACATAAATGCTATATACAAATGACATAGAAAGGGCTTTAACAAGACTAGTGTATACAAAACTGTGAGTGACTAATATTTTCACATACAATTTAATATCTTTGTAATCCTAATCCTTCTTTTGTTTCCAATAAAGTTGACATTTCCCCTCCCTCTCTCCCTCCTTCCCTCTTTCTTTTCTTTCTTTGTTTTTAGAGACAAGGTTTCCCTGTGGCTTTTGAGCCTGCCCTGGAATTTACTCTGTAGACCGGGCTGGCTTCAAATTCACAGAGATTTGCCTGTCTCTGCCTCCCGAGTGATGGGATTAGAAGCTGACATTTCTATAATGAGAAATAAAGTGTAAAAATGAAGGGCGATTACAATAAATGCTGTTGTGTATGTATGAGGACTAATATTAAAAATGTGTGATTAAAAATATAGTTTGCCAGCCGGGCAGTGGTGGCGCACGCCTTTAATCCCAGCACTTGGCAGTTTGGGTCTGGTTTATCTCACACTACTACTCATCATATGTTCATATTCAGTGAGCCATTGCAGAATCATCTAAAGGAAATATCTATTAGATATAATATTTTCCAGTTTTATGTGCATTTTATATTTCTATTTTCATGTCTTTGAATACGAATCCTCACCATACATAAAAATACCTATTTTCTCCCATCCTATGACCAGCTTTTTTTTCCTGCTCAACTGCACTTCTATTTCTGTTATACTTATCTATTAAATAAAAATAATATTTTCAGGGACTGGTGAGGTGGCTCAGTGGTTAAGACCACTGATTGCTCTTCCCAGAGAACTCCGGTTCAATTCCCAGCACCCATATGGCAATTTACGACTGTCTATAACTCCAGTTCCAGGAGATTTGACACCTTTCCAAAGACATACATTCAGGCAAACAGCCATGCACATGAAATAAAAATAAATAAAAGTTAAAAATACTTTATTCATGCACAAAATTAATTTTTTCCTTACTTCTAGAGTTTTCTAAGTTCATCCACTGAGCTATGAGTGCGTTCACCTGCCTATTGTCCTCTGGTGTTCCCCTCCTTTGCTTCTGCGTTCATCTTCTTTTCTTAGTACTGCTGAGTATTAAGAAAAGATCCTCCTCTGCCAACATCTGCGGCCATCAGCTCCCGAGATTGGACGGAGCCAAACTGGCAACTCCTCTTTCCTTGAAGGACAGTTGAAAGGTCCAATCCTGGCTAGAATCCATAGCTTCTGCGTGTCTATGGTTGCAGCAGCAACGTCATAACATCAAGATCCCTATCTTCCCGCTCAAAAGTTCTTTCTGCCACCTTTTTGCAATATTTCCTGGGTCATCTGAGCAGTGTGATAGTCATCTCATCTCATTGTTGGTGGGAAAGGCCTGGGAGGTGCCCACCAGGGCGGGCTGCTGTTACTGCTCTTCGTGACCAATCAGGGCTAGAGGTGTCAAGGCAGAGCTGAGCTGGAAACTCTTTCCTGTTGGCAAAAGTCAGCCGGGCTGGACGCTCTAGCGCAGGCTGCTGGGGAGAGAGGGCAGTCTCATCCAGCCACGCACCATGTAAACAACAACTCCTTGTGATTGGAGTTGAGGTCGGCTCCATGAAGCGCAATACATTCCTGGTAGTAGACACATGGTCCAAAGCCTGTTCTTGGGAGGAAGTGGAGCCAAGGAGCATCCTCTACCACAGCTTCTTTAAAAGAACAGGTAAAAAAACTTGATTCTGATGAAGCCTAATTCGAAGTTTCCCTTTTTAACTGGGATCTTATATCAGCTCCACAATATATGGCTAAATCTGCGATACTGTAGGTTTCTGCAATATTTTTTTCTAAGCTTTTTTTTTTTAAGTTTAATTTTCATTTGTGAGGATTTTGATTTCTGCTTAAGTATTTTTGTACACAGTTTAAGCTAAGGGCTCAGGTAACCTGCTGTTTGGGGATATTTAGTTTTTTCTGCACCCTATGTGCTGGACTCCCTTTTCCCACTGAAAACTCTGGGTGTCCCTGACCTCATAGGTGGGACTTCACTTATGAGTTCTCTCTTCTAAATCAGTGGTCTATGTCACCTCTCTGTTGTGACTATAACTGTGTCCTAAGTTCTGAAATTATGAAGTGTGATTTTTTTTTCTTGGTTGTTCGCAATTAACTTTATTATGACTTTGTTTCAAGATTCCTTATGAGTGAGATTGATTTTTTTCATTGTTCTCTTTTTACACGCATAGGTGTGGGTGGGAAGATTTGCATCTAAGTGTGCTTGAGCGTGTTTTTGTGTAGGTATTTGTGCGTTTGTGAACTTGTGTCTGTGGTGGTCTGAGGTGTTTGTGGAGAATCTTCTCTCGTCACTCCTCCCTCTTATTCCATGGAGGATCTATTCATCCAACGCAGAGCCGGTTCACGTGGCTAATCTCAGTCGCCAACTTGCTCTGGGGATCCTGTCTCTGCCCTGCAACCTAGAATTACAGATGGGCTGCCGTGTGCACCGTGCATTCTACGTGGGTTTTAGGGATCTGAATTCTGCCCCTCTTTCTTTCATTGCAAGCTATTTAACCTCTGAGCCACGTTTGTAGCCCCCGGAATGGAACTTTCTAGTTCTACAACCCATCTTTGGGATTCCAAGGATTTTCTCAGAATCTTTAGGTCTTTTTCTGTGCTATCATCAACTGACTAATACAATTTAATCTTTTAACATTTGGATCCCTAAAAGGTCTAGAGCTAAGAACTAGCAGTTTCCTCATGAAATTACTGCCATAATCATTAACCACAATCATTCTAGAATGGATATGTAAAGATTCCACACAGTAGCTACTGAATTAAAAAACAGACAAGTCCTGAACCTGGTCACCCCACTCACACTTTCTACTGTATGGTTACAAAGAGGCAGAAAAAAAATGCATGGTAATACCGATGGTATCCATTGATTGTAGTCACAACCACAGAAATGTAAAGGCAATATAGAAAGGAACTAGTGAGAAAGTGTCAAGGACTCTCACTTCATACTATAATGCAGAATATTAAGTAAGGGCGTGAGAGGTGAAGGAAAGCCATTGGTTTGCCTGGGTTAGAGATAAGGGGGATCAACACATTGCACCTTAATACTATGCTGAACCACAGAGCCCTCCACAGAGGTGTCATTTTACACAAGAAAAAAAAAGGAACATATTGTGTGTTTGTAATGTTGGCTGGATGTGGGAAGGGCCTCCGTGTTGAGGATACTGGAAGAGAGAAAGAGCGGGAAAAGAGCAGAATTCTGTCTCACACATCAGTATGCCAGTGACTCTGTTACCTTTGTGCAAACGCGTCTTCACAGAAGAGGTTGATGTGCGCAGAAGGCGTGATCCTTTGACTACTTCCTTCTTTAAGCTACTAGTTTTAGATGCCTCTGAAAAGTGAGAACAATGCCATTCAATGATACTGCAAAAGAAAAAAAACCCCACTTCTGAAGCACAATAATCTCCCAGCAACTCAGGTGAACAGTTAACAAGCACAGACTCTGTTCTATTCAGCCTTGCCTCATAGCTGATATTTCCTTATGTAGATGGCATCATTAGAGTATAAATCAGGCAACAAAGAACAGAGATGAGAGAGGCACCTGTATTTCCAGAATTGGGGAAGTTGAGGCAGGGGGATGGTTATCTGTTTGCCAGTCTGTTAACCTACTACTGAGTGTCAATCTTGCTATATCCTGCACCTTGTCTCAAATGACAGATCATATGCAAATGTCAGAGGAGGAACTTAAAAGATGTCAGTACGACAATATATAGGACTACAGGTGACTTAGATAATTCGCAAATACAGCTTAATCGCTCCATAAACATTTCTCTGCTTTTAGATGACATTTCTACAGTGAAAATTAAGTTATGAAAAGGAATGGAGATGATAGATAATAAGAAATGGCACAGTGTATATATTTGGAAGACTGTTAAAAAGAAAGTACAAAAAGACAGATTCAATTTATCTTTATTTAGGGATGAATCCTAAAATAAAATGTAGAATGTGAGCTTGTTAGAGAGTCCTATCTCAAAGTTAGCTGGTCAAATTTACACAGGGAAGTTTTTCCACAATGTGTTTCTTGCATAAGATTAAAATGTCCACACTTCTGTTCACCAAGGCAGGTGCTTGTTAGAACAGCATGCCTCTGCTTTTTCTCAGACCCAAAACCATTTGCCCTCATGCCATTTCCACTCAGCACCCAGAAGGAGCCCATTATCCTTTCTCTCTAACCACAGATTTAAAATTTAGATGGGCTGACTGAGAATGAGGCCACCTCTGCTGCAGATGGCAGGGCAGGCGTAGAGGCTGCTCCATCCTGCCGGAGCTCGGCTGACCCCACGTGCCCTGCATACGAGTTGCCTGCATTAGAGGAGAGCTGGCGGAATCCAGTCCTCTGTTTCTACTATGTGGGTCCTAAGGACTAACACCTGTCAGGTGTGGCAACAGGTGGCTTTACCCACTGAGCATGTCAACTCCTGCCAACCTCAGATACTCCTGCATATTTTCTTGACAACCTTGTCCATATTTGGTATACTTTTCTATTTTTTCAAGGACTAGGGTCTGAACCTGACCGTTCTGTAAGCAAGGTAAGCACTCCACAACTTTGAGACAGGTCTCACTACGCTGCCCTGGCTGACTGTGAATTGCCACTCTCTTGGATCAGTCTCCCAAGGAGCTGAAATTACAGGCGGCACCCACAGGACGGCTCTTTCTCACCCTCTTGTCAATGGCATTTCTCTTTTCTTCCTTCTTCTGTCTGTCCTGTGGCTGCTAGCATCAGTCAGACAATGAGCACAGAGTGTTAAGTCTTTGTAGCGTGGGGCTGTCTTCTCTCATGTTAAGGTGTGAACATCATATTTTTTCATTAGGTTGAAGATTGCAAAGTTTGTTAAGGGGAAAAATGTCCGTGAGAGTGCTTCTCAAATGTGCTTACATCTTAGATCTATTATTGCATCTTTGGATAGGAATGCTTATTAGATAGAAGTGAGATATTTTCTCCAATTCTGATTTTGCCTTTTACTCTGTTGTTATTGCCCTCTTATTTTTGTTATTCTTTAATTTACCTATTAAATGAAAAATGATATTGATGTTTATGTATAAAATTTTTCTGAGGTGGAATTTCCCTTTGTGTGCTGTGATTACCATTGATAAGTAAAGGAACTGCTTTGGGCCTATAGTAGGGCTATAGGGGAACAGAGCTAGGTGGGGAAAACTAAGCTGAATGCTGGGAGAAAGAAATGGAGTCAGAGAGAAGCCATGGAGCCGCTGCTGGAGACAGACACCTGAACTTTAGCTGGTAAGCCACAGCCACGTGGCCATACACAGATGAATAGAAATGGGTTAAATTAAGATGTAAGAGTTAGCCAATAAGAAGTTAGAGATAATGGGCCAAACAGTGTTTTTAAATAATACAGTTTCTGTGTGATTATTTTGGGTCTAAACAAGCCGGGTGGCCGGGAACCAACAAGTGGCCTCCTCCTACATTTTCCTTTAGTTTTAAAAGTTTTATAACTATGTACAATACATTATGATTATATTCACTTTCCTTTTATCCTCTGGCATCCACTCCCTTTCTCTCTCTAGCTCATCTTCTTCCACATTATCCCTTAGCAGCTGTACCGATAGAGAAACGTCACTCCCTTTTCCTAAGCCTGTCATCAGTCATCAGCTTCTTAAAATGATTAGGGTCTCTCTGGGCACTCCTATATCCTTGAAAGGGCCCATCCTGGCTAGAATCCATAGAAGCTCCGTGTTTGTGGTTGCTATAGCAATGCCCTATGCTCATGATCCCCATCTTCCCTCCCATAAATTCTTCCTGCCATCCTTTTGCAATGTTTTTTGGGCAAGGTGGTTAGGGTGACACAGATGCCCCATTTAAGCTGCTTGGCAGAGAGGTCTATGAGGTGCCCCCAAAAGAAGATAGGGTGTGGTCACTGCTCCTGGTTACCCACAATGATTTGATGTTAATACCCTACTGGCGAATAGATCATACACGTTGGTTCTACGGCACAGAGATAGCAAGATGGAACACAATGGACACTCACACACACTTGGTCAGTGTTCATAGTGCTGGAATGTGCTATACAGGTGGCTGAGGAGACAATGTACTAATGGCCACACCCATATGTGTGCCATCGAAACCAAAATAGTAACTGGTTTCGATTAGACATGTCCATTGATGTAACAGTGGCGTGATTTAACAGTGGACATAACCAGCTCCTTGTGACTGCATTTGAGGCCAGCTCCACGAGAGGGAATATACCCCTGTTAGTATACACACGGTGAAAAGCCTATTCCTGGAAGGGATGTGAACCAGAGGGCACAACACGCTACCACCCGCTTCTTTCAACAAACATGTAAAAAAATTAGGTTGAGACTAAGTCAAGGTTTTGTGTATTTTTCTTTTTTGACTGTGTGTTTTATGCCAACTGCCAATACAAAGCCAAGTTTGCTGGCCTGTAAGTCTCCTCTGTGTTTCCATCTGATATTTTTGCGGTTCAGCTTACATTTCATCAGCAACAAAAAGGACATTGATGTATTTTGAAGTATCCGTGTATGAGAGGGCTCGAGCACCCTTCTGTTTGGGAATGTTTGGTTTTCCCGGCACCATATGTGCTAGACTGCCATTCCCGCCTGAGTGGTCTGGGTACCACTGACCATGCAAGTGGGAGTGTCTTTCTGTCTGCGCCTTACTGGCCTGTGTTGTCTGGCCGCCATCAGAACTATGGTGAGTTGCAGCCTTTCCTAGTTTGTCGCCAATATTTTTCTTAATTTTATTTTTGAGATTATCATTCAATTACAATATTTATCCTTTTTGTTTATTCCCTTAAAACTGTCCTATATACCCCACCCTGCTCTCCCTCAAATGCAAGGCTTCTTTTTTCACTGTTATTGTATGAACGCATGTTTATGTATATACATATATATTTCTTTTTTTTTTTTTGATTTTTCGAGACAGGGTTTCTCTGTAGCTTTTGGTTCCTGTCCTGGCACTAGCTCTTGTAGACCAGGCTGGCCTCGAACTCCCAGAGATCCGCCTGCCTCTGCCTCCCGAGTGCTGGGATTAAAGGCGTGCGCCACCACTGCCCGGCACATATATATTTCTAAATATAACCTGTTCAGTCTGGTAATGCTATCTATATGTATGTTTTTAGGGCTGACCATCGGACACTGAACAGTGAGTTGGTGTACTCTTTTGGCTTTGACATTCTTTCAAGATTCTATATGATTTTGAAATGAACTTCATTCTCTTTTTCTATGTGTATGTGTGTGCAGTATGTATATATATGCATGGGTTTGCACACAGGTGTTTGTGCACACATGTGCCTGGGGTGTTTGTGGAGACTCCTCTTTCTTCACTTCTGCATCTTGTTCATTGAGGCTATTGTGTCCATTGGTCAATCTCTAAGGCTGTCTATGTGATACTCAGAGCCAGTCTATGTGGCCAATCTCTAAGGCTGCACTGGGAAGCCAGTCTCTGCTTTACAACCTGGAATTATAGTTGGCTCTGAGTATGCTGCATTTTACAAGGGTTTTTGGGAAATAAACTCTGTTTCTTTCTTGCATTGTAACTGGCTTAACTACAGAACCTTCTCTGTAGCCCTCAAAATAGAATTCCCTAGCTCTGCACCGTAACTTCAGAATTCTAGGGATTTTCTCAAAATCTGTAGGTCACTTTCTGTCCTACTGCCAAGTGACCAGTATAGTTTAATCTTGCTGATATTTTGTATCCCTAAAAAGTCTAGTGCTAAGAATCAGGAAATAGTTTTCTCACATAATTAGTGCCACAAATATTAACTACGACCATTCTAGAATGGATATGTAGATATTCCACACAGGATCTATTAAAGCTACATCCTGAATCCAACCACCCCAATCACACACTCTACTGTATAGTCAAAACTTTGTAATGATATTGATTGCACCATTGATTGTAAAAGTGTAAAGGTGGTTAAAGAGGGAATTATTGAAAAACAGTCAAATATTCTCACTTCATAATGTCATGCTGAAAATTAAGGATGTGAGGCATGAAGGAAACACATCACTTTTCCTGGGTTAGAGATAAGGCAGGACCACACATAGGATCTGTTACTATGAAGAACCACAGCGCTCTCCACGCATGTCTCTACTTCCAGGAGAAATACGGGAACACATTCTGTGCTAGTAAGATTCGCAGTATGCTGGAGGGGCCCAGGGGTTGAAAATGCTGGCATACAGAAACAGTGGGAATAGAACAGAGTTCTGGAGGGGCCCAGGGGTTGAAAATGCTGGCATACAGAAACAGTGGGAATAGAACAGAGTTCTGGAGGGGCCCAGGGGTTGAAAATGCTGGCATACAGAAACAGTGGGAATAGAACAGAGTTCTGTTTCACGTGTTTGCATAGCAGTGGATTTTTTACCTTTAGTCAAATATCTCATTAAAGCGGAGGCTGACATGTGCAGGAGATTGGTCTCTTCATCAGCATTCTCGTGTAAGCTACCTGATTTACATGGCTCTGAAAAGTGAGAACAAAATCATTCAGTGGTTCTAGAAATACATCAGCGACGAAACACACGTTCCTTCCGGCATTCAGGCACACGGTAAACAATCAGGAAAACACTCAGCCTTGCCTCTTATCTGGTATTTCACTGAGGTTCACTACCCAGGTGCTAGTCAGACAACAGGAAGGACAGAGCTGGGGGAGGTATTATAATGTAGCACCAGGGAGGCTGAGGCATGGAGAAGGTTGCCAGTCTGCGACATACTGAGCGTGACTCTGGTCCGGCTGTCTCAAACAACAGATAGAAATGCCGTATACAAATGTTGGAGAAAGAACTTAAAAGGTACAATATGACAACATAAGAATCTTCAAATGACTAAAATACAGATTTTCAGATCTAGTTTCATCTCTGAATACATCCTTTTTTATTGTGGTAGTGGACATTAAGTGCAAGAAGGAAGGGAGGTAGTAGGAAGTGTTATAGTGTTTGTATTTGGACTAAAAAGAAAATATAATATGGCTAAAAAGGAAGTATAATAAATCAATGCCTGAAGCTGGTGGGAGAGCTGGCCCTGAAGTCATGAGTCATGAGAACAGGAGTGTCCTTGTCCCCCAGCAGCTGCAAAACTCAGGAGAGCAGGTCCTGCACCTCAAGGCACCCTGGGAAGCACAATAGTGTTGGCGGAGGGGTGGGTGAGCCAGCCCCTAAGCTCCCAGCATGGGAGAGCTGTCCCCACTACTCTTCTCTCATGTGGAGACGTGGGTGGGGGAGAGATAGCCCCACTACCCCTTTCCCCTTACTGCCTGTGACAGATGAGCAGAGCCGACCCTGCCCTTACCAGCTGTGGCACTCAGAAAGTGGGCCTTACTCCTTGCCTAGGCAGCACAGTTGAGCTGACCCTGTTGGCAGAGGAGTGGGTGAGATAGAACTGGGGGCATCAGAGTGGTATATCTGGCTATGCCCTCCCCATTTCTTAGGTAGCGCTGAGAGGAAGATGTCCTCCCCTCTTGACCCTGCCACCTGTGGTGGGCCAGGGAGTTGACCCTCTCCCTCACCAGCTGCCACATTTGGGAAAGTGAACCCTGAACCTCTCTTGGGCAGCACAGTGGAGGTGACCCTGTTGGCAGAGGTGCTGCTACACTGTACCAACTTGTCTTAGTGTTTCTATCGATGTGACAAAACACCATGACCAAAAGCACGTTGGGGATGAAAGGGTTTATTCGACTTCCATTTCCACAGTACTGTTCACCAGTGAAGGACAGGATCTTAGAGGCGGAGCCAATGAAAGGGCACTCTTTACTGGCCTGCTCTCTTGGCTTGCCGAGTGTACTCTGTTACCACTCAGAACTACCAGCTCAGGAACAGCACTTATTCCCCCACTGACCACTAATCAAGAAAATGCCTCGGCCTGGAGGGATGACTCAGCCCTTAAAGGCTAGGCTCACAACCAAAAACAGAAGAAAATGCCTCACAGCTGGCTCACATGGAGGCACGTTCTCAACTGTGGTTCTCTAGTTTGTGGCAAGTCGACATAAAAAACAGCCAGGGTTGTCTATTGCCAAGTGTGTGAAGGAGAAAACTGTCCATGAGAGTACTTCTCAATTTTGCTTACATTTTAATCTATCATTACATCTTTGGATAAGAATCCTTAACAATTTTGAGTGACAGATTTTCTCCCATCTGTTTCTGCTTCTCCTTATTTTATCGACTTCCTATTTACATCAGTTTTTATCTATTAAATGAGGAATGATGCTGACATTTATATTGGTCAGGGTTTTCTAGAGGAATGAAAATTATAGAACAAATCTCTCTCTCTCTCTCTCTCTCTCTCTCTCTCTCTCTATATATATATATATATATATATACACACCTGTATCTATTCTCTGTCTGTCTGTCTGTCTGTCTGTCTGTCTGTCTCTTTCTCTCTCTCTGTCTCTCCCAGCACTTGGGAGGCAGAGGTAGGCGGATCTCTGTGAGTTCGAGACCAGCCTGGTCTACAGAGCTAGTTCCAGGACAGGCTCCAAAGCCACAGAGAAACCCTGTCTCGAAAAACCAAAAAAAAAAAAAAAAAAAAAAAAAAAGAAAGAAAGAAAGAAAAAGAAAAAGTATAGGAACAACTAGGGTACTCACAGTATTGACTGTATGGTGAAAGAGCCCACAGGTTAAAGATGGCGGTAAACAGAAGCAATGGGATAGTACAGAGGTTTATTACATACATCTTTATGGCAGTGACTCCTTTACCTTTCAGCGCACTTATTAAAGCAGCCAAATTTGGTATCTGCAGACTATTTTCGACTTCAGCATATTCCTTCTCTAAATTTGTAGTTTTAGATGTCTCTGAAAAATGAAAATAACTTTATGTAATGGTAGTTAAATATTACAATTGCTGAAGCAAGTATAAGAAATAATATACTTATTTCAATAATAATTCAGAATATTAGTGGTGTAAACAACCAAATAAAAAGACACAGATGAGCAGCTTGGATTAGAGCTCAGGCTATACCTTTCAGCTTCTCCTAGAAACAGACCTCACCATCAAAGATGGACACCACCTCAGACTAAGGGACAGAAAATGTTATTTTGAGCATATGGACTTAGGAAACAAGTTGAAATAGCTATTCTAATATCAGAAAACATAGTTTTCAAGCCCAAAATACTCAGAAGTTTTTGATGCTTTTGTTGCTACAACTATTAATTATGGTCACTCTGCAAATTATTTGTTAGTACTTATGAAAATTAAAGGCGTGCATGTTCCCAATCCAGCGACCTCCTAACATACTCTACTGTATAAAGCCAGAGAATAGCAATGTGTTAGGACACTGTAGTCGCAACAACAGAAATGCAAGGACAACATAAAGAGAAAGTCTACAGCAAGTGTGCTGTTTCTCCATTTCAGAGCAGCGTGCAGCACACTAAAGGTTACCTGGTTAGAGGTAAGGTGGATCTGTGCACAGGATCCTACTACTTTACACAAACAGAAAGCCCCCAAACGGGGATCGCTGCACAGAAGCATGGAAGGCAAGCTGGGCTTATAAAACTGGCCGTCTGAGCCGGGCGGTGGTGGCGCACGCCTTTAATCCCAGCACTCAGGAGGCGGAGGCAGGCGGATCTCTGTGAGTTCGAGACCAGCCTGGTCTACAAGAGCTAGTTCCAGGACAGGAACCAAAAGCTACGGAGAAACCCTGTCTCGAAAAATCCAAAAAAAAAAAAAAACTGGCCGTCTGAAGGGGCTCACGGGTTTGAGAATTTTGGTAAACAGGAAAGCACGGGAAAGGAATATTTGATTTCATACGTCTGTTTTTACCACACTCTTTTTACCTTTGCTTTTATGTTTCCTTACGGCGGACATGGACATGTGCACAGCACTGGAACGCTGACCGACTTCATCATAGAAATGAGTCGTTTTAGATAGCTCTGAAAAACAAGAGCAGCGTCATTCAGCAACAATGGAAATAAACTATTTTTGAGCACAGTTTCCTCCAACTATTGACATAGAGGGGTTGACAAAGCCCTTCCAGACTCCGTCTGATGTATCCATGCCTGGCAGATGATATTTTATAAACGTGCATTGTAAGAGTGCAAGTCAGGGAACTAATAAGAGAAGCGGGAGGTCCTGGCCTGTAGTCACCCCGCTTCTTCTTGACATCTTTGTTTTCTTCTTTCTCTTTTTCTCTTCCTTTCATTTCCTCTTTATTTTATTTTTGTGGCATTAAGGATTGAACCCAATTCCTTACATATGCTGGTTGAGAGCTACACAATTGAGCTGCAAATATCTAATTAATTCTTTCGATGAGATGGGGTCTCACGGCCAGACTAGATTTGAACTCTGGGTATTGTCAAAGCTGACCTGAAATTGTGATTTTCCTGCAGGACTCTCCGAGGGATCTACAGGGACAGCTATGGAACTCCAGAACCAGCCAGTTTTTCTTCCACTTCTCTCTTGGTCCCCCTCCTGGAAATATCACCCCATGTGTGTGAAGCGTTTTTCTCATTCTAGTTTTGGGTTGAACTTCCCCAATGAGAGAAGACATTTCTATGTTCCTGTAGGTATATAAAACCTCAGGAAGAGCATCTTTTAGAGCATTTCCCATGCGCTTTTTTATAAATGAGTTTTGATGTGGTTGAGCCGCAGACCATTGTTAATCTATCTTTGGAAGGTAATTCTTTATGGAACCCAGATAGGGAAATATGTCCCTTTATTTGGGTAACCCTTTTGCTTTACTGATATTACCCCATTTTTTGTTACCTTTTAAAAGCTACCAAATACAAAATTTTATCTTCCCTGACATGACCAAATTTTAAAATCTGATGAATCCAAATTTGCCAATATTATTTTTGATGCTAATCCATTTTATATTGTCAAAATGAGCATCTTATTGGCTGTGCCTGTTTGTCCCCATATTTATGCAGGTAACTCTAACTTGTAAGGTCTGCCTTCATGTTGACTTATGTTTTGAAAGCGGTTTAGCCTGTGAAACCCTTTCATGCTACTGTTGTGGCTATACAGGCTTCCCTGTACCATGTGTGGATTTCTCCAGCATGGCTCTGGTCTCTGTGTCCCCTGTATGCATTTGAGAACTGCAATGCCCTCACAGCTGTGGGTCGGTCATACGCTTTGAGGTTATTAAGTATTATTTTGTTCTCTTACATATTTACAAAGATTCTATGTAAATGTTAAATGGACTTTCTATATATGCAAAAATACCTTTTGCATCTCAGGGACTTCTCTAGAGATTTTTAAAATCCTTTTCATAGTACGGACATTTAACAGTTAAATTTGTGCTTACGTTTTTCCCACACAAAGTCTGTTTCTCAATGTGACACTTAGAATTGGGTTTTTAATTTATTCTCTGGTTGAATTATATTAATTGTAAATTATTTGTCAATATGCATTAAATTTAAAAGCACACATGTATTTTCCCCACAAATCTCATTACACAGTCTATCGTATAGAAACATTAGTGAAATAAGACAATTGCACATGACAGCTACTGAAGCACTGATTATTGACCCCTGAAATAAACCCTGAAGATTTAAAGGGCATCGTAAGAAGGCATTAAAGTGGCTGCTGGATAACTCACTGCACATTCTCTCTTAGAGCATTGTGCAGAAAAGAGACAGTGTGAGGGATGAAGGAAGTCTATCCATTTACCTGGGTCAAGGCAAGTAGGGCTCACTTACGCGCAGGATGCCAAACTTTACAGAGCCTCATCCTCCCACAAACACAGGCATGCACTCTCAAGAACCATGGGACATACTGTATTCACAATATTGTCTGCTGGGCCCACAGGTTTGAAGACAGATATTCGTAAAAAGCACCAGCGGGAATGGTACAGAGTTCTCTCCCACACATCTGTATTCTCACAACTCCGTTACCTGCAGTGAGGTCTTTGTTAGTGGCAGAGGTGGAACCACGCAAATTATAGTAAATTATGGCATCTTCGTCATTTAAGTTTACAGGCGGTGGTTGCTCTGGAAAATGAGAACAATCTCAATAAATTACACCAGAAGTAAAGTCATTTCCATTTTTAAAAAGTTAAAATAAATCCTAATCCCCATCTGAAGATGTTCCCTCGTTTTTAGTTATTCTAGATGCTGCAGCTTAGCCTGCACAAATCAAGTCTTTCTGCTTTTTCTTACCCTAGCTGTTTACGTTATAACAGCATGCGATAAGGGTGTCTGTTGAGGAACAAAGAGTTAACACAAAGCTGGCTAACTACTCAGTTCTAGTGAAGCCCTGTTTACTGGAGAAGAATCTTTAGGCTCTAAATTACTTACTAAGCCCTATCAACAAACTAATAACGTCTGTCCTTACACCCACAGATAAGCAGCTAAGTGTGGCCTTCACCCCTAATCAAGGAAACTTCTCTTTGTAACAGAGAGCACTATAGAAAACCACAACCAATCAAAGCCCAGGCCCAATGGCTACAAAGAACTCTCACACCTAAGGCACAAGGAACGTTGCAGAAGAAGGGGTGAAAAGATTGTAAGAGCCGGAGAGGTCAGGGAGTTTGCTGTGAGACTGTGTCGCCTAGGTATATCAGAAACTAGATACCAATAAAGTCTCACCAACACGACTACTCAAATGTGAGATGAACAAGGACGAAACCAATGAACATGCCAAAGTTGACAGGAAAAAGCCCATGGGGCCTCAAGCCTATACAAAAAATTACAGGCATTTGGGTAAAGATGGGAGCATGAGAGTTAGTCCTCCCCAGAGATAAACACACCCTTTGGTTATCCAGTGCCAAATGGTCATCCTTGAAAACAAACAAACAATTGACACTATATAAACTTAACAGGTTATATTTAGGAATATCTATGCATATAAAATACATACACATATTCAATAACAATTAATGACTAAAGAGGCCATGGGTTTGAAAGAGACCTGGGAGGGGCATGTGGGAGGTTTTGGAGAAACGGGGAGGGAAGGGAGAAATGTTACATTTAAATTACAATCTCAATAATATACAACAACAAAAATGAATATAGTAGACACACTCATAGCCTTTGCTATATATCGTCTCTTATATTACTTATTAGGACATTATTCAAGGTTGTTTAATGCTCCTACTTCCTCATCTACACATGGAAATAGTAACAGTGCCATTACATGAAGTTGCTAAAGATTTAAATATTGAAACGGTGGAAAATACTCAAAACAGAACCTAGAATTTCACAAGTGGTTAGTAAATGTTGGCTATTATTACTGGGGAACACGATGTTTATTCCTTGCTTGTTTTACCTGTGCTATTCTCTGACATGGGAGCTAGATCTTAACATAATGGCATTTTATTTTATTAAATACCTGTTGTTGTTCCTTTGCTGAACTACAGCTCCCAGCGTTCCCCTGGACCACGGACACATTTCCCAGAAGCCTTTGCATTCCTCGTTAAAAGGCGAGGGTCGCTACGAACCCCCCTTTTCCCTCTTTTTCCCCCACCTCTCCTGTCGTGTCCGCACACCTTTACCTGCCCGCTGTTACCCCTCCCCCATTAAAAGTGCACCCACGTGGGACCTCTGCGTGTCTGTGTCTTCTTCCCCGTGTACCGTCTTTACCCTCTAACCCGCAGACAAGAAAGCCAGTCAGAAATTAGGAACAACATTGGTGCCGCCATCGACCCGGTGACCTTTCCGTCCCGGTACCCGGGGCCCCGGCCTCTGGGCTTCCCGGCGCCTCCCGGAGCTCAGGCCTCACCGGGACAAGGTTTGAACCTGCAACCCAACTGCTTCCACCTGTTTACCACGGCCACCTAACACCGACTGATCCGTGAGTTAACCTAAGTTGGCTTCCTTCCCCCGGGGCGCTAAGAGACTGTCCGGCCGGCTTTCTCTAGCACGTCCTGGGCAAGGTTGCCGCCCCCCGCCCCCCGGCTTTCTGCCCTCGGCTAAAACCTGCCTCCGTCTGCGCCTGGAAGTTCGGTGCTTCCAGCTTCTCCCTCTCCTTTTTTTCTAATCTTTTTCTGTCTTCTTTCCGGCCCGCTATGGAGCGGTTGCCCCCCGGGCTATGAATCAGCCCCCAAAAAGCTTAATTGTCTCCTCCCAGCCGGGGCTTTCTCCCCCGTCGGTAGCTGGGCTCAGCCAATTGAGCCCTAACACGCCCCTTGGGTACACGGACGCCTGTACTCAAGGCTGCCGTGTTCGCGGTACCCCGGTACCTTTTTGCGGACAGGCTTACGTTCTTAGCCATGGGTTCTAAGCCATCTAAAACAATTCCCCCACCCTCTCCTCTTGGACAGCTTCTGGAAGCTCTCAAACCTCACGCCCTGATTCCCTCCATAAAACTATCAATGCCATCCCTCCAGGGAACCTCTGCTCCCGCCATGGATCCTGCGGAGAAACCTCAACCCCCCTCCCCCCCCCAGGCTTCCACCCCCCCCCACGCCTCGAGGGGCCACTCGCTCTCGCTCTGCCCAGTCGAGCGACAGTGACGGCTCACCCATTCCTCTTTCCTCCAAGGTTTCTTCTAGGAACAGGAAGGACTCGCCTTCACCTTTCCCCCATGTCGCCTCTAAACGTTTCATTCCTAGGTCTCCAGGAGTCCTGCATAAATATTCTTCTGGGTCACCTACCCGCTCCTCTCTGAATCAGCCTCACCCCACTTCTCCCGCAACAGGTCGCGCAAACAGCTGAAAATTTCTTCCCGCCATAGGTCACGCAGAAAATCGGAAGCATCTTCGGATTCTTCCCCGTCTCCTCTCCACCACAGGTCACACAGGCAGCTTAAAGCGTCTCCTCCCTGTCCTACGCCTCCCCCTCGATCTTCCAAAGCCCCTCTAGGCTCCCACCATCACTAACCACCACTCTCCCGTTGTTATTCACTTAAAACGCCCCACACCTAAGGATATCAGGTTCCTAAAAGCTACAGCAGCC